ATGCTGCAGGTCTGAGAGAAGCAAGGGCTGGAACTAGACCCACTTCCTTCACCTTTGAGTGGCTGGTGAGGGTCAGCTATGGAGTCACTGTTTTCTCCCAGGGAAGGTGTCGGGTTAAACAGCCGGAAGAACAAGGCCTCAGTTGTTCCCAGGTTCTCATGTCTACACCCCATCACCCTTCAAGGGGTTCAGAACACGCCTCCCCTACTTTGTGCTACTTTGGCATAAGGATTATGTTGAGCTGAAAGCAATTAAAACTCTGCAGGCTCACTTAGGTCTTCTACCTCTCCTTTAAATAATTTAAGTTAGGGGCCTTGGCCACCATAAGAGCTATCGCCGGAAATAACTGTTTATGGCCTACCTATAGGACAGGGCAAAAACCCAATCACTAAACATCTGTTCTCATCGTAGTGTGAATGACCTTCCTCCCTCCCCTCAGAAGACCCAGGTGCCTGACCTTTTCCTCAGCTCAGAATGTCATAGAGTCCTTATTTTCCCTTTCTGTCTCTGAACCTCTCCTGTATGTGGAATTCCCATTCATATGCATGCAATTAAGTTTGGTTATTTTTTTCCCCCTGTTAATCTGTCTCATGGCAACTTAATTATTAGGTCAGCGAGAAGAATCTAGAAGGGGAGTAAAATTTCTTCCTCCCCCACACCATATTGTTGAGGTGGGATGGATTCCATTGGTCTGAGGACCAGTCCAGGTGAAACCAGACAAATAATAGGTGGGGACTGCCTGTCACTACTTGAGCTAATTCAGCAGAGACAGGGTTGAATCATATACGAGCGTTTATTCCAATAATGCCAGCAGTATGGGAGAGCAGCAGGTCATCCACAACAATCTACCCCCACACACACACACACTAGCTGGCTGATCATACAGAGATAAGGAAGAGAGGCTGCATGCAAGGGTGTAGGGGGGACAGGGGAGGGAATGGCTGCAGGGTCTGTGGTTGGTGTGTCTCCTTCCAGGATCTTGAAGTCTAATAACAAGGTACCATAGTTAATTGTCAATGATGGTTAAACCCAGCTCTACCAGTTCCTAGGTCCTGAGAGTGGCCAGCATTCCTGCAGCAAACTCCCAGAGCGGGTTGGGGTCCAGGCACAGCAACCAATCAAAGCTCATGCTGTCCTTTGACCCTTCTCAAAACGCATCTTCTTTTCTGAGCCATGGACACATCCGGGCCCCAAGGTATATCTTATCATTTTGCAACTCTGTCTTCTGGGTCAAGCTGCAGCACATCCTCCAGTTCCCTGGGGTCTGTAAGAACACTTCTTATCTATAGTTAGGAAGGTGGCTAACTATGAAACAACGGTGGCTCTATTCTTATCGCACGCCCTTCCCTCCCCCCTCTAGCGCCCCCCGCCCCCCATCACAGATGCAACATCTTTGATTCTGCGGAGAGCCTGGCTCCGATGAGCTGCCCTAGAGGAGTTGGGTGACTCCTGGCAGGCTGACCAGAATCCTGTTCTTCCAATAGCTCTGCTCTCCTTTTCTTTCCCTTCCTTCCTCCCCGCTTCCTTCCCTGGCCCTCACCCCTCTGCTGGCCTCCAACGTGGCTCTTGGGGGTTATTTGAATTCAACAGACCTCGGGCGTGTCTGCTAATGTTTTTTCCAAACAAAGACAGTCCCATTGACGTCTTCGGAGGTCCAGGCCAGGCCCTAGAGCGCCTTTACAGTCTGAAGTCTCACAACCGGGTGGAGTTGAGAGAGAAGTTATAAGGATCTTGACCCTCAGGGAGGGCGGCAGCAGCATCCTGCCGACAGGGGGCGGCCGCTACCCGATTCAGACTCAAGTTGCCAGAAAACACTGGCCCCGTGTGGACAGATCGGATTTTTTTTTTTTTTTTTTTTTAAGAGGTGGGGAATCCAGACTTTTACGCGGATTCTTTAAATCGTTAAGAATGGGCAACTAGTTCAGATCACATTATAAAACACGGAGGGAGCTAAAAATAAGTCTGCGGGACAGATGTACCCAGGGGTAGAATCCCAGTGGGCAAATTCTGAGGTTCGATCCCAGAGTGTGTGGGGTTCTGACTTCATTCACAAATGCCAGAGCTTTAACATCATGATTCCAGCGTCCGCGTTTGACATGTGGGGAGACGGAGGCTCAGAGGGGGAAAGAAAGTACGTCTGCAGGTCTGTTAGGGCGAGGCTAAGAAGAGTGGGACGCAGGCGTCCTGATTTCTGTCCAGGTCTCGCAGGAGGCAGCACTCCCATCAGAGCCCGGCGCCCCCGGAGAGACTTGATTCTGCGTCCCTGGAGGCTGCCCCCGGAGAGCGGGTCCTGGCAGGGGGAGCCCTGGCGGGGCTGGGGAGGTCGCCAGAGCCCAAGGGCGGGGGTTGGGGGGGAGCCGGAGTTTATTTTTAGCCGCCCAGAATGTGCCTCTCAGCCTTATTTAGACATCAGGCGACAGGGCGAGCTTGAGGCAGCAGGGGCGGGAGAGGAGATAGCCCCCTCCCCCTCCCGGGGCTCCTGTTTCAATGGCTCTTCCCTGCCCGCCCGCCCCCTTGTCATCCTTTCCTAGGGGCTCGGGGGCGGCTCTAAATAGCAGCCCTCACTGGCGGGGGCGCTGTCCTGCTCTCTCTGGCTTTTCTTTTTCCTCCACCTCAGCCCCTTCTTCCCCCTCCCCCACAGTCCCGCAGAGAAATGGAACTCTAGAGCCATAGCACGTTCCTGTCTCCCTTCTGGGGTCACAGATCTCTTGGAGAAGCTGTAGGACTTCGTCAGGAGCTCAGGGTGTGGAGTCTGATGGACTTGGGTTTATATCCAGCATCTGGCCCTAAGCAGGTCCTTACGCTCCCCAACCTGAGTTTCCACTTTCATAGAGCGGAATTAGTATCCTATCCAATTCCCCCCTCGCAGTTCCTGAAGATTATGAATAATTCAGGATTATTCATGATTGTGAATAATTCAGGAATTTTTTGTAAACGATGAAGTTCACTGATCCCTACCCAACCTCAGCCCCAATCCAAATCATTCATTCATTCAACAAATCTTGGCTAGAGCTTACTCCATGCCAGACACTGTATAAAAGGAAGGATGAGGATGTGAGGCCAGAGAAATGAATGTATGTCAATTATCCAGGGTCAAGTGCAAATCAATAGTAAGCCAAGAATCAGAATGGAAAAAAAAAAAAAAAAAAGTTTAAATAACTTTCTTGCCCTGGCCAGTGTGGCTCAGTAGGTTGAGCATCATCCCATATACCAAAAGGTTGCCGGTTCAATTCTGGTCAGGACACATGCTCAGTTTGCAGGCTCAATCCCCAGTAGGCAGTGTGCAGGAAGCAGCCAATGGATGTTTCACTCTCACATTGATGTTTCTCTCTCTTTCTCCCTCTCATTTCCTCTCTCTCTCTTAAAAACAAGCAAACTTTCTTGATGGTATAATTGGTGTAAAAAAATTTGCACATATTTAACGTATACAATTCAGTGAGTAAGAACATATGCATACACCCCAGAAATCATCACCAAAAATCAATAGGCATACCTATGACTTCCAAAAATTACCGCCCCCTAGTTTTTTGTTTCTGTTCCTTTGTTTGTTTTTGTGGTCAGAACGCTGAGCATGAGATCCACCCTCTTAACAAATGTTTAAGTGCACAACAGTATTGTTAACTCTAGGTACTAAGTTGTGCCACAGATCTCCAAAAGCAGCTTTCTGTTCGCAGCTTCTACAAGTTGCCTATTTTAGAAATGTCATGCAAGTGGAATCACGCAGTGTCTGTTCTTCTGTGGCTGGTTTATTTCACTCAGCATACTGCCCTCCATTATCTGTCCGTGGAGAGGGGGCCCGTTTCCCTATGTTGGCTATTGTGAATCATGTTGCAGTGGACACAGGTACACAGAGATCTGTTATGATCCAGATCTCAGTTCTTGGGGATATATACCCAGAAGTGGGGTTGCTGGGTGCTTTGAATCCTTTGCGGAACCTCCATACTGTTTTCCTTAACGCCTGCACCATTTTACATTCCCAGCAACAGTACACCAGAACGAGAGTCTCCCGAATCCCTGTCGAGACTCCTTTGAGGATAAGCTTCTGTCTTGGAAAAGGGACCAAGATCCCTTCCAGGTGCAATCAAAGCGGCTCTGAGCATCCCTGCCCTCAGCAGACCCCTGTATGCCTTTTCCAATGGGCCCTCCCAATGTCAGTCTCTGCTTGCATGCCTCCCCAAATGAGGCGCTCACTCCTGTCAAGCTGGACCCCTGAATCTTGGACGGTTTGGGAGGCCTTTCTTCGGAAGGATGTGGACCTCTCCTTCCTAAGGGCATGTGCCCACTGCTTCTAGTTTTCCAAGGCAGCTTGGGAAACTGAGCATCTTCAAGTGTTCCAGGCCTGCAGGGCCTTGGAGGAGAAGGGCAATGAGGGGAGCTGGAGATTTGATCCACTTCCAGCCTTGCCCAGCTTCCAAGCCCTGCCTAACGCAGGCCACAGGCTGGCTCCGCAGCCCAGGTTCCCAGGACTCCCACCCCCTGCAGCTGCTTCTTGAAGAAGTGCCACGGGGACTGGTCCGGCTACTGTCCTTGGATCCTGTCCAGGGCCCTGATTTAAAAGGTATTGCAACGTTTCTTAAAAACAAACATGTGTTGTAACCCAAGGCCCCGGTAACCACAACACTGCCGGCTGCTAGCTGCCGCCTCCCAGGCTGAGAGGAGAGGAAACTGCTCTCCGCCCACCCCAACTACCCCAGCAGCTCCCCACACTCTGCCTTGCACATGCCACCGCCACCGCCACCGTAGTTACTATATTATACCAGGCTGGGAGCTCGGTGAGGGCAGGGCCTGAGCTGGACCTGGGGCTGCAGTCCTTCCAGCGCCCCTCCCCCACTCCCTGCATTCACCCAGCACTTCCAGCAACACGAAGCCCCTGAGCCCCCTGAAAAGCCACACCGCACTGGGCATGAGTGTTCTTCTCTCCCTGCTGTTTCTTTTCCTTTTCTTTTTCTTTCTTTCTTTATTTTTTTACATTTTAATTGTATACATGTTTACCTTGCGAAATGATCACTGCCGTAAGGTCAGTTGACACATCCGTGACTTCACATAGTTAAACTTCCCCACTTTCTTGGCAAGAGGAACCCATACGTAATCCACACAGCCCAGCGCAAACATCACCTGCTCAGTAAAGCCTGCTCTTCCCTCGCCTCCCCCAGATCGAATTAGAGATCCCTTTTGCTTTCATAGTATTTTCTCATAAGCCTTGTTACATCATTTGCCTACCTGGACCACAGGTGATATAACCTCCAGCAAATATTAAATATTTGGTTTGGCCTGCATAACTGTGTGTGTGTGTGTGTGAGAGAGAGAGAGAGAGAGAGAGAGAGAGAGAGAGAGAGAGAGAGAGAGAGAGAGAAATGTTACATTTAAGAAACCCCAATTTCCAGTTTCTCTTGACTGGAAGGTCAGGCCAGCCTGGGCCTTCATTTCCTTCTAACGCCCATCCGCTGCTGCACACCCTCCTGAGCTCCCTCTGCAGGGTGTGTGGTTGGTCCCCAGTGTGCACTCCAGCCCATCTCATGCTGGCCCTCTCCTCATGTATGTGCCTACCAGCCTGTAGGCATTTAAGTTTTAAGCCTTGGACCTCGATCCTATTTCTCATATGTTGTGGGCCCCTCCCATTGACAAATAGTATACCTCCTCATCCCGTAAACTATTGAGATGTCCCAGAATCCCAATATGTTTGTTGGCAAGGAATAAATGAATGAATCAAGTCAATAAAAAACATAAATGTCATCAATTCCTTTGCTAAATTACGTTTTCCAATTTTTGTCTTGGAAAACACAGCTCCTGTCCTTACATCCTCTGAGTCTTATTTTAATGAGTTTCATGTGGGTAAGGTCCTCCCATCAGAGTGAGCAAGGAAGGTGAGACCAGGGCCAGGAAACACTGGGTTTTCCTAAAGGAAAGGGTTAGGGCAGTCATCTGGTGAAAAGCAGTTGCTTAAACTGTGATTAAATAGCAGGTGACCTCGGTGGAAAACTAGTCATTTTTCAACTCAAGAATGAGGTGGGCTGCTGGAGAGTGTGGTTCCCACTGTGTCAGAATACACAGGAAATATGTTTGGAACTGAATGGAATTGACAACGTGATGTTGGGTAGGAAATGCAGAAGGTGCAAACACAGTCCTATGATAAGGGATATGTGGGGGGTTGTAGGAGGGGACAAATAGATGATTGATTTAGGTGCAACCAGACAAGTGAATACCCATCTCTGATCTGGGTCTCAAAAGCCCCCAGCTGGTGTTCATTCGATTACAAAAAAGTCACCAAGCTGCTCATCAGAGGCCCCCAAGCAGGAAGTGACTCTCAGTCCCTAGATGGGGATGGCGCAGAGGCCATGGAGCAGTCCCTTGTGCTTCACCTGGAGGGAGCAGGTGGGGGTGGCTCAGACACTAGTCACGCAGCCCAGCCAAGGATGCTCAAACATGGAAAATGGGGCTTACTTATATACTCCTGGACTCCATTCTACCTTCTGTGCCCATTAAAAAAAAAAAAAAAAAAAAAAAGTGGCTGTCAGACCTGCAGAGGACAGAAAGCTCAAAGCGTAAGTACACACCAGACTTCCCTGGGGACACGTGAAACGCTGATTCCTGGGCCCCTAAGCCAGCAATTTCTGACACAGCTGGCCTGGGGTGAGGCCCAAGAGATTACACTTCTAACAATTTCCCAAGAGATGCTGCTGATGGTCCCTGGGCCACGTTCTGAGACCACTGCTGTGAAGAAATGTCCACTCCTGCCCACTTCTAGTAGCCTCCAGGCCCCAGAACCCCACAAAGAGGTGGTGTGCAGTTCTCCCCAGAGAAAAGCCCTGGGACTTCACTGAATGTCACCAAACAGAGGAAGTGCTCACCAATCGTTATTGGCATGAATCGACACTTGGTAAAGGGACGTGGTAATGTGAATCTTGCCACCTCTCCCAAGGCAGTCCCGAATCCCAAACCACGGGCCTCCTGGGAAAAGAGGCAGGGATGGCTTCTTGGTCATTAGCATTACTCAGACTCAATCCTCCTTTCAGAGGACTTCCCCATTCATTCAGTTCGACACAGTTCAGTGTAATTAATGTAGCGATTTGATTCCCTGCTGAGATGACCCACCACAAACCGCTGGACCAATGAGGCTCAGATTTTAGTGTGAACATTCCGAGGACTCAGTCCTGCAGGCCCCAATTCAATGGAGGGGAAAGGAGAGAGGGCTCCAGGGAACCGGGGCTTTCACCAACAATGCCCAGATGACTTGAAGCAAATGGCCTGCCCATTCCTTCAGCGACACTGCAGTGGGAGCATAAGGATTCAGTAACTTTAACTTCCCTCTCATTTCCTTCTCTTATAGATGCATCTTTCAAGAGAAAGCCGTCAAAAGCATCTCCATCACGAGGCTGGCAGAGCTCAGCACAGCCTCACTTCCCACCTCCAGAACCGAAGCTGGGGAGCATCTGTAAGAGAAAACTATTCTTGCCCAATTCAACAGAACAAATCTAAATTAGTAGCTGTGAATTGGTTAGACTGGTTAGACGTTGCATTCACCAGACAGACTCTCCATGGCAGTGGGTTAAACAGATTTGTTATTTAGTCTATTGTGTAAAAAAAAAAAAAGTTAGGGAGTCGTTGATCAAGGCTGGCCCAGGGGTTCCTATAAATTCATCAGAGATAAAGGCACCTCCCATGTTTTGGCTCAGGGTAACAAAATGGCTGCTGGAATCCGGCCATCATGTCTGTGTTCCAGGCAGGAAAAAGGGGGGTGTGGAGCAAGGAAAGAGGGATCCCTGCTCCAAGCTGAGTCATTCCCCTATTAAAAGATTTCCTGGAAGCTCCAACCAGTCATTTCCCCCTCACATCTCACTGGTCGCCCCCAGATGCAAGGGGGCTGTCAGCTCAGCACACGGCCATCCCAAAAACATCAGGATCCGATAGCGAGGGAAGAGGTCAGAATGCAAGTTGAATAAGGTGACTGGAAATCTCTGCCACAATCAGTTATGTACGGGGTGGGGTGAGGAGGGAGGAGACGGAGCTGTGTAACCTTTAGTCCATTAGGGAGGCTACGCAGAGCACACAAACAAGTGTAACTCTGAGGAACCCTGCCAAGTGCGCGGAGAGAACCGCGGAACAGGTGCAGCAAGGCGTGCGGAGGGGTCGCTGGGCTGCTGCCTGATGCACAGGTAGATTATAACCTGCAGAGATGAGTGGTGAAGGAAGTCACTCTGGGAAGATGACATGTATCGGGAAAACAACTGGGCTCCATCAGAAGAATTGGAACAGAAAAAGCTTTGGGAGCTCGAAAGATGTTTAGCAAGTACTGCGTGGAGAGCTTCTTAACCTGGATCCAGACACAGCCCCATGGCACGGGCTGCAGGGGGCTCTGAGCTGCCTGGGGTTCTAGGCACCACGTTTTATGAATGGGCACATTGTGCTTTTCTAATGGAAGGGGGGGGGGCGTGTGTAAATCCTATTGTTCTTTCCAATGTGGTTCACAAGAGAGCCCACCCATCCTCCCCTTTAACCCTTTACACACAACCTAGCTACAAACACTAATTTTTCATTCCCTGACTCCCCATCCTCTACAACCTTGGAACTCTTAATAGAGTTCCAAGAACTCTACCCTGACTTGACTCACACTGTTCCTCCTTCTTGTAACGACTCCCCACTGCTCCTCCTCTTCCCCCTAGATATGGCGAGAGAGGGGATGGCTTCTCCTGCATTGGGAGTATTTGATCCTAGGCTCCACAGACACCGAGGAAGGAAATTGGTAAAGAGATTTGAGCTGCAAGCAGCAGAAGGAAAGCACCAGATACTATCCCAACCTGAGATTCTAGGATACCCTTCATCATACATACCCTTTGGTTTTAATATTCCTCCAGGGAGTCCTCCTTCCCCATCCCCATCCATCATGGTCTCTTCATCTCCTTTTAATACATGGAGAATACAACTCAACATTAGCCCAGGTATTGATTGCAATTGTTGACATGACAAGTCAAGAACAATTTAAAAAGTTCAACTCTTCAATGTTCATATGAGAAACTCTCCAAAGGGGGAAGTGTTTCGGGATGATCTCTCCAGGCATTTTTGCCATTTAAAAATATATATTTTTATTGATTTCAGAGAGGAAAGAAGAGATACAAACATCGATGATGAGAATCATTGATTGGCTGCCTCTTGCATGTCCCTAATGGGATCAAGCCTGAAACCCAGGTATGTGTACTGACCTGGAATCGAACCATGACACCTCCTGGTTCATAGGTTGATACTTAACCACTGCACCACACCAGCCAGCTGCATTTTTGCCATTTTTCTGTTGCTTTTCATAGTCATTATCTATTACTTTGGGATTTTCACATACTTGTTCACGACTTGATGGTGAAAAACTAGTTTCAGTCTCATGCATGGATTTAAAATTATTTATTTTTAAAGCCTTTTTTCTTATCACAGTACTAATTTTCTTATTACAATAGTAAGAAGTATATACTCATTTTTAACATAAGAAAATGACAAATAATTTTAAAAATCTAAAATCTCACCCACCCAGAAGTAGTCACCAATAACACTTTTAAAACTAAGAATGGATTGATTATATTTTATAATACTTAAAACATTCATCTTCATCAGCGTTTCTACTGATTGCATGACATTCTATTTTTATGGACGGAGCATAATTTGTTTAACCAGTATTCTTTTCTGGGATGTTTCGGTGGTTTTGGTTTGGGCCTTGTTGGTTTTGACTAAATTATGAGCCTTGTTTTGATTAATAGTAACTTAAGTAGACACTCTTTGCTCATTACCCAGTTAGCCCATCCTACCACAGTGGTTCTCAAGCTTCAGCATGGGCCGGAATGGCCAGGAGGGCTTGTGAAGCTAGAGATGCCGGAGACCCACCCCCAGAGTTTAGGGTCTGTAGGTCTGCGTGGGGCCTGAGACTCTGTAGTTCTGACAACGTTCTCTGGTGGTCCCAACGCTGCTGATGTGGGAACATACTTTGTGAACCACCATCCTATATTCTTATTATTATTCTTCCAAGAACCTAATGTCGCCCCTGTCCTTCGCTTCCTTTACTAGGACCTGTTACCCTTTGCCTTGTGCTCTGCGGAGGAGGAATTTCTTTTGTGGTCTCGTATTCTTTCCCCATTCATGACTATAAGCCCCTTCCATCCGCACCCTTTGCAAGTGCCTCTGGGCCTTGTGTAATTTCCTAACATACACACAGACACACCGGCACCCTGATTTTCAGAGTTGGGTGTCTTTTCCCTGCATCGCTACTCCTAGAGACCTCAGCTAGTCGCCAGGAGAGGGCAGACAAAAAGGTGTTTCCCCCAGGCATTCTGTGTTCCTTATTCCCACTGTGTCTGCTGTCTGCCTCACAAAGTTGTTTTGATGAATAACATCTATCTCAGATAGACAGAGTTGAATATCGTAGCCGGAAAGAAAGTTGAATATCGTAGCTCTCCGCCCAGAAGTGAGGAGGCATTGCAATTAAACTTAACATTGTTGTGTATTTGTAAGGAAGTGGTTTAAAGCTTGGGTTCTGGAGTTAAAACTGGATTCTACCTGGGCTCTGGTACTTGCTAGTTCTGTGAGCTTAGGCAAATCACATCTCTGAGCCTCACCTGTACAATGGAGGCGATAACACTTCTGTTGCAAAGAGGTGGCAAGAAATAGAAACAATATGTAAAAAGTTTTTTAAAAAAATATGTAAAAAGTTGCCGGGATAGAAACAGCCCTCAATAAGTGGCAGATGTTGTATTTAATTAAAGAAATAAAATTGTTTTGATTTCTTTTTTCCCCTGGCCTTTTCTCTGCTGAGTGCCCAGAAGGGATCTTTTCCGGGCCAGAGGCTAGAGGTTCCTATCGCTTCCAAAGATTCTGGTCACCTGCCGGCGAGCCCCAGGGATTTCGCCGAGGCCCTGCTCTTCGGGTATTTACGGCGCGCGGCCGCGCCGCTCGGGCTCAAGTCAGCGCTTCCAGGTTCAGTTTCAGGGTCTCGCCCGCAGCCCGGGCCGGCAGGCGCACAGCCGGCGGAGCGGGGCCCGGGCAGCGGGGGCCTCTGGGGGCCCCGGCATTGGGAGGCGGCGTCCGGGAGCCCCCGGAGGAGGATGGGCTGCGGACACAGCAGGCTGAGCTGCTGCAACCCCCCTAAAAAGGTAAGGCGGAGAAGTTTGCCTTCGGGAGGGAGGGGAAGGGAAGTGTGGACCGGCTCCGGGGCAGGGGACCCTCGGCGCCACGGGCTCCCCCAGCCCGAACCCCCGGGCAGCGCGGGGGTGTCCGGCGGAGATCGGCGACAGGCCGGCTCGGAGGGAGCGTGGAAGGGCGGCCGCCGGCCGGCGGCGCTCTGTCTCCCCGCCCGGGGCTGAGCCGCGCGGGGCAGCGGAGTTTGCAGACGCTACCGCCGGGCCTGGGAAGGGCAGATCGTTCCTCCGCCCGAGAGAGGACATCTCTACCGCCCGTGGCAGGTGCCCTTTCCCTTCTGCCTGAGGCCGGTCCGCTGTGTAGCCACGGATAAGTGGTTTAACCTCTCTGGCCCTCCGGCGTTCCCACCGGTCCGCTGCAGATCATCTCTGGGGCCGCTGCTCGCAGAGTGGTCCACGGCCTCACGGCATCCGCATCACGTGGGACCTGTTAGAAATGCAGACTCTCAGGCTCTGCCCCAGACTGCTCAAACAGAAGCCGGTTTTTGAACCAGATACTCCGGTGATGACAACAAGGTTTAAAGTTTGAGAATCGCTGGTCTAGAGCCTCTTTGGGACCCAAAGCGGGCGCTTGTGGGCTGTGCTGGATGGGGGTGCTGGGAGGGGGGGCGGGAGAGCTGGGAGGGGCTAACGAGGGTGGAGATCTACCGCCTGCTGCCCTTCCCTGCCTTCCTGTCCCTCCCCCAAGGGGCCTCAGAGCTGGGTTAGGGCCCAGGAGACAGTACTCAGGTTTCTTGCAGTGGGACCAGCTGCCCCTTGGGGTCTGACAAGCCCAGAAGGTTCACAGCCCGGAGCCTGAAGGACAAACCTCCTTGGAGACAACCTGAGGCGCAGAGAGGAAAGGGAGGACCCCTCAGGTCCTGGTCCTTTTCCCAGGACTGTCGGCCCTCCAGCCAGGTGGGAACACGTGGTCCCGTAAATGTGGTGATCAGTTCCCTGGAGACCCTGGCAGAGCCCAACCTGTGAGAATATTGAGTCATTTTTTCATTGAACTTGAGTCTCTCTCTCTGTACCTGCTTTGCTTGTGCTCAAGCATAAGCTGTACTGCCTATTAGCTGTTGCGTACTGGCCCCAGCCTGGGTGACCCTATTCTCTGCCCTGGGTCTAGTCCAAAACTAGAAGTTAAGTTTTGGTCCCAAGCTTTCCTTGCTCCTCCTTCACACCCAGTTCAGAAAAACCTCACCAAGCTCCGACCCAGAAACCCTGGTGTCTTCCCTGGCTCCAACTGGGAAACTGAGGCTTGCCTCCATCGGCGGAAGCACAGGGCTGGCTGACAAAGGTGATGGGCCCATCAGCCTGAGCCTGGTTTGAGACCTGTAATTGAGCTGGTGACATGCGTCCTGACTTTAGATCCTGGCTCTACCGTCAATATGATGTGGGACCCTTAGAAAGCCCTGGCCACTCTCTGGACCTCGGTTTCCCCTCGATAAGGAGAAGCAGGGGAATGTGCAGAATGATTTCCGACAGTGTGAGAGTCTGTGTACCTGTGCCAACCTCTCCGTCTGCAAAATGGGCCCGTGGTGAATTTCATCCACACGGCGTTGGGAGGGAGGAGGCTGGGGAGAAGCCCTGTGCTGGCCTGACCTTCTACAGGCTGGAAGAGGAGACCACCATGAGCGTGGATCCCCGTGGCTTCTGGCCCTGCTGAGAGCCTTCCCAGCTGTCCCTGTCTGTCCTGAGCACAGCCTGGGCTGGACCTCCCTCCCAAACCATGAAGGCAAGCACAGACTCTCCGGGTGAGCAGCGGCCTTGGATGCCATCTGGGCCGAAGCACCGAGTGTACGAATGGAGGCTGGGGTCTGGAGAAGGGAAGGGTCTGGACTGATGTCCCACAGAGCAACTTGAGAGCACCCTGGTCCCACACTACCCTGTGCTTCTGGTGCCTTCTTAATGATCCCAGAGCCCTTTGGCATAAAAACATTCTCTCTGTCGCCTCAGAGCAGCCTGGCCTGCCTGCCTTGCCCTAGCAATGCCAGGGCCCCTCCTCTATGAGGCAGCATTTGTAAATCGATTTTGTTGAAAGTTCATGCCTGTTTCGTGTCCATGCCCAGTTTCTCCTCCAGCTGCCAACCCCTGAGCTCCCAAGCCCATCCCACTGGCTCTCAGGCACCTGGGAGAGAGGGGGACTCTGAGGACGGGAGATACAGAAATGAGCTCAGGCGAGAGGAGGTCAGGTCACGACAACCATGACTCAACCTGCGTGGCAGTTGACAGAGTGCTTTCACATCCTGCTGAGCTCACAAGAGCCCTGGAAGCTAGGCAGAGCTGCAGCATCCTCCCCACTTTACAGCTGAGGAAACCAAGGTCACAGAGCCAGTTGGTGGCAAAGGCATCGAGCCAGTTGGTGGCAGAGCTGTGTGATGGAGCCTGGTTTTCTGCACGCTGCGTCCAGTGCTCATCGCTTGGTGTCGAGTGCAGAGCGCTCAGGTGCTACGTAAATATCTGAGTGCGTGAACGTGGGCCAAATAAGAGCCAGGCGAGGGCTTAGCCCAGGGTGCAGCAGGAGTAGCTCATCCAGCCTTGGGCGATATAGGACGGCCTTTTGGATTGGGTGAGGGGACTTGACTGAGTGCTGAAGGTTTGGTAGGAGTTACCCAGTTGAGGTGGACAGAGCAGTCTGAGCAAAAACTGAGCCAGAGAAAGCTCATGTGATGGGGCTCGTTGTGGAGAAGGGAGGTGGCAGGCAGCAAGGAAGGAGGCCAAAGCTTTCAGTGGGGCCCACCCTGGCAAGGGACAAGGGCTGGACCACTGGGCTTCTCAAAGTCTCTCCAGGGTCAAGGTTCTGAGAGTTTGCTGAGTTCTGTTATAGAGCCTGGTGGTCGTAGCTGACCAGCTGTTCTGGACTCCATTGAGAGGCTAAGTCATGGAGTCTTCCATCTACCCTGGCTGGCATGATGTCTGACCCCCCCCCCCAGTCTCCAAGACATCTGCTCTGGCCACAGCTCCACAGCCCTGAGAGGGTGCCAGGACCTGGTTCAGCACTGCTCCCAGAGCTGGGCCTCAGGGAGCAGGTTCGCAGGGGCTCAGTCATTCAGTAACTCCTTGTGATCATGTCTAGGTAACAGGCCAGGTAAGACCGAGGGAGAGAGGCAGAAGTGAGTTACATGGGAGAGCCTGCATGGGCATCTATATATATAAAAGCCCAATATGCAAAGTGTCCTCTCAGAAGTTCCACCGAGGGGGAGTTCGATCACTCACTATGACATGTGCTCACCACCAGGGGGGTCAGCGAGAAACGAAGCAAGGCCCCAGCTGGCAGCAGGCAGCCACTAGGGATGCTACCCCATGCATGCATTTCATGCACTGGGACTCTAGTAAACAATAACGAAACTCAACCAGAGACACTAGGGGCGGGGTTTTAGAACTAGATTCATGCATCCAGTCATTAACTTGGTGTATGCGGCCCTGGGCTAGGTGCTGCTTCAGTCCTGGCTCCATCCCAGACCCATTAAGTGGTCATGGAAGGGACTCGACTCCCTATGCCTCAGTTTGCTCATCTGTAAGATAGGTGTGATATTAGCTCCTGCATCATAGGGTTGTTCTACAGATTAGATGAAAGAATGTGTATAATACAATAGAATCTCTGATGCACTGACTGGCAAGTGGTACGCACTTGATAAGAGGCAAATGTGGGTAAGTTCATGAGGGAAACATAGTTATACTTTAAGCACATCACTGCCTAGCTTGTACCCAAGGAAAGCAAGTGGGATGTGGGAGCCAGGCGAACATTAACATCCTTGGGTGGCTGGTGGGGTTGGGAGCATGGAGCCTGGAGGCTGGCCTCGGCCTTGGAACCTCTGAAATAGAGGCAAGGAGTGTGAGGAGCAGCTTTGTTCTCTGTTGTTCCAGAAGGTAGAGCTGTGGCCAGTGAGGGGAAGCTAACGGAAGCCACATTCTGCTTCTCAGGAGGAGGAAGGGTGGTGAGTTCCCCATCTCGAGGGGAGTTCAAGTAGAGGTCAGATGATATTTTGGCAAGGATAGAAGAGGGGATACAAACCTAGGACCAGCAGATAGTTAGGATTCCACTGAAGAAATCTAATTATTCTGTTTATTACAGTGTTTGAGGAAGAATTTCAAAATTTGGAAAAGTATAAAGAAATGTAAAAGTCATTTCTAATCCCGTCATTAAGAGCTAGTCTCTGTGTACATTTCAGTGTCATTCTCTCTATTTTTCTTGCTATATACTATACATGATTGTGACTATTTTAAATGGTTGTATTCTAGTTGCTTAACATTTTCCTGGGGCTTTCTCCCGTAAATAGTTCATGGAGACATGATTTTTTTTTTTCCATCCCCACCCAAGGATATGTTTTTATTAATTAGAGAAAGAGAGGGATGAGAAACGGTCTATCGGCTGCCTCCTATATGCACCCCAATAAGGGATCAAACCCACAACCTGGGTGTGTTCCCTAATTAGGAATCATACCCACAATCTTTTGCTGCACTGGACAATGCCCAACCAACTGAGCCTCCCTGGCCAGGGCTGGAGACATGATTTTTTTTTTTAAATATATATTTTATTGATTTTTTTACAGAGAGGGAGAGGGATCGGGAGTTAGAAACATCGATGAGTGAGAAACATCAATCAGCTGCCTCCTGCACACCCCTACTGGGGATGTGCCCGCAACCAAGGTACATGCCCTTGACCAGAATTGAACCTGGGACCCCTCAGTTCACAGGCGGATGCTCTACCCACTGAGCAAACCAGTTTTGGCAAGAAGACATGATTTTTAATGGCCACCTAATAATCTGTGCATGTCCCGAGACGTTTTTAACCAGTGGGCACCTGGGTGTTCACATTACTCATGAGCATCCTTGCGTTTCATCCTAACCCCAGGCTACTGTGGCTCTGTGTTCAGCGGGGAGTGGAGGGGACAGAGGAAGGCTCCTGAGGGCGGTGGCATCTTGGCTGGGTTTTGAGGTGGGTGGACTAGCCTGTGTGCTAGGTTGGGTGG